AAATAAATAAAAATTTAAAAAATAATAAAAAAAAAACCATCAAGGAAAGGTTTATATATGGAAGGAAACTTTCTTTGTTGGTTACCAGGGGTAGTCACATTAGTTTTATGTATTTCACTGTACATAAATTATATTTCAATAAAATGTATTTTAAATAAATAAATAATCAGTGCTGGCAAAACTTGATATCCATTTGCAGAAAAATGAAGCAAGATCCTTATCTCATACCATACAGAAAAACTAGCTCCAGAGGGATCACAGACTTCAATGTAAAATCTAGAACTTTAAAAGTTCATCAAAGAGAAAAAAAAAATACAGACATACTTAGCGGCCCTAATGTATAGCATTAACAGATGACCAAACATAAGAAAAAACTCACAAACAGCAGAAGATAAGCTAGATGACCATGATCTTCTAAAAATTAAATTCTTATATGCATCAAAAGACTTCTCCAAAGCGTAAAAAGAGAACCTATAGATTGGGAAAAAATATTCAGCAATGACATATCTGACAAGGGACTTATCTCTAAAGATATTCAGGCAGCCAACAAACACATGAAGAAACATTCGTAATCATTAGCCATTAGAAAAATGCAAATCAAAAGAACAATCAGATACCATCTCACCCCAGCACTAATAGCAAAGTTCAACAAGATAGAAACTAACATGCTGGTGACGATGTGGAGAGACTGCACTCTCATACACTGCAGGTGGGACTGTAAAATGATATAATCACTATGGAAAACGGTATAGTGATTCCTTAAAAAGTTGGAAACAGAAATACCATTTGATCCAGCAATCTCATTACAAGGTACATATCCTAAAGAAGTCAGAGCCAAGACATGAATACACACCCATTTCATCACAGCACTATTCGTAAAAGCAAAGAGATAGAACAACGTAAGTGTGCATCAACAGAGGAATGGATAACCAAACTATGGTACATAAACACAACAGAATACTATGCAACACTTAAGAATAACGTAGAATCCACCAAACTCTTCATAACGTGGATGAACTTGGAGGACATTATGCTCAGTGAACTAAGCCAATCACAGAAGGGCAAATATTGTATTAGTCCAATATTGTAAAAAGGCAAGGAAAGGTTTATATATGGAAGGAAACATTCTCTGTTTATTTCCAGGAAGAGGAGAGAAGGGGGAACAGAGAGAGAGAGGAAAAAAAATATATATTCCTAAGGACTTTTTTGCCTCTGTAGAGATAATCAAAGGAATGACACTATATTGACTTGGTAACGTATTGCCAAGGTAGAGCAAAAGACTTACCTATTCTGTAGTGGATGTTTAATATAGTGTTCTGGGTTAGCAACCTCTTGATTAGTTTCTGTTTTCTCTTCTTCCGTAGGCAAGGGATTAGCAGTAGGGGTGGTTTCCTAGTGGAAAATGATAAAACATTTCTTAACACAATGATGACAACAATAAATAATGCAAAACCAATATGCCTACATTACCTTTTTAAAGGAAAGAATTAGAGCACAATCCTTACACAAAATAGATCACAGAATAACCTCTAAGAAAGGCACCAGAGTCACCATTCTAGTACACTTCTAAAAACAAAGGAGCAAAGGATTTCTCAAATTTATATTCTTTCATATACATATGCATATCACTATGTATATGTATACACACACACACACACACACACACAGAAATGAGAGTTATCTTCCCACTTGCACATATTTTTCTAAGAGGAAGACAGTAATACCATACAATAAAGTTGGGAAAATCAGCTCTTTCTTAACGTACCATTAAAAGTATTGTTGATGCTATTAGAGAAGAACAACAACAACAAAAAATGTATAACTAAAGCTTGGAGAATATAATAACTATATTATGATGACCCAAAAAGCTGTGTAAAATGATCGAGCCAATGCCTTCATGTCATCCTATTTACCCTACCTGAAAGTACAGCAACTTCCATTATTTTCAATTGGCCCTATGCAAAGAAGCTGGATACTGGCTTGAACCTAAAACTTCTCAGGCTATAAGGAGACTGGTGATAATAATTTAAGATAGGTGGTCATCATACTCCTCCATGTAGCTCTTCACCTGATCATAATTTCATTTAAACAAAACTTTATAGCCAAGGCAGACAATGGGCCTATAAGTTCATGTGAATGATCAGAATTCCCAGGTGTATAGTAGAGCTGACAAGGGGCAAGGTTATGGTCATTACTTGGTCACA